TCTCCTCCGCCTTCTCACGCCTCGCCTTCTCCTCGTCGGCGATCGTCTTGAGCTGTGTTGAATACGTCATTGACAAACAGCGTCGACAGCAGATTCAACACGGCAGGTGTGTCAATTTACCCCCCGGAGTGTTGGATCCAATGGGCAAAAAAATAATGACGCACGACGCTACGGTGTCACCAACACCGACGAAACCAAGGAGCGAGGGGTAACAATATAGGCCGGCAGGACGGGCAGATCACGCGCGTGCATTTACATACTCTCTCTGAACTCAACGTTCGTGGCCCGCTGCTAACAATGTAAACCACACCCGTGCTGAACAACATCAGCCTGGTACGGAGGTGTCAACCTCAACAATGCTAACGATTATGCAAGCAGCCAGGGAGGTGTCAATCAACTAACGCGTAAAGATACTATTTCTTCGAGGCAAGCGACAACACGAGACGAACGGAATTGCATACCTTGATGCGCGTTTGTTCATTGTGGATAGGGTACTCGCTACTCGGTATCCCAAGCGAAAACAAATGAAAAAAACTGTAGAAGTAGTATTTAGCGATGCGCACTCATTTTTTGACTCTCAAGTTTACACTACCATCATCTCTATCGTCTTCTCTTTGATCCGCCTGTTCGTGCCGACAATGCCAACAGAAGAGCCTACACTATACCCAGCGCCCTGCTCTTGTTGGTCAGCCAGAACGTCCGCGTGTAACCCCGCTCCGGAATCTATTTCCTGGCCGTGACCAGCTTCTTCCCGGTTCTGCGACATGGTAGCAAAGGCACCCGGGGTTTGCTTGTGGTCTACGTTCCCCCCCCGATGCTGCCGTCGGAATCATAGTTGGCATTGTCGTCTTTGCCGTTGGCCTTCGAGGATTTCCTCCCACCGGTCGGTGTAGTCTTGCCTTTTTTTTTGGTACCTCTCCCCTCCCCTGGCGCAACCACCGCCTTGCGCTTCTGCCCCGGCGCAACCCCGGCCTTGTGCTTCCCTGATGCATCCCTGGCCTTGAGCTTCTTGTTCTCCGCTGTCTGCCCCGCGGTAGGTCGCTTCACCATGACCTTCGGCCCGATCTTTCCCTTCTTATTTTTTCCCGCTCCAACCTTTCCCCCCTCCTTCTGGCTGCTGCTGCTACTGCTGTTGCTGCCGCGGGGGAGAGGTCCCATGCTGAACTCGGGATGGTCCTGCTCTTCTCCGCCCACCATTGAGAACCCTCCCGCCTTCCCGCCTGCTGTGTAAATCGCTGGGTGCATCAACGTCTCCATGCCTAGTTGCAGCTTGGATGATGCAACGACTTCGACGAAGGAAGCAACTGCATCGGGTCCTCAAGCTGCAGACGGCCGAAGTGGTTGAAGTTATGGTTTTGATTGCGCGCTAGTCATGGATTCGCGTGCTCTCGATAGAGTAGATGCACCCAGTGATCTCCTTCCTCCTCTATTTTGTCTTCTTTCTCGAACAAGAACATGCCTGCCGTGTTGTTTCCGGAGTACGCCTGGACTGTGCCGTGCTTAGCGCTTGGCTCCCACACCATGATGTTCACCCCGTACTCCGAGGCCAGGAAGGACATCTGGGTAACGTCAATCTACTTCTCCGCACTTTGCCAGTCTAGATCGCAAAACCACCAAACCGTCTTATCCTCCGCAGCCATCCCGTGTTCGACATCCCCTAAAACATGCGGTACCTTCACACTCAGGGCCCGCCCAAGATGGTCCTTTGAGAGTACCGCTGTCGAGTCCTCAGGGACATCGGGTGCGCCGATAACATGTTCCATGGCTCTACGGGCAACCGCTGCCCGCATTTGCTGCTCGTTGGGAGTCCTTGCTCTACCCAGGCAAACTTGCAGACCCGCACGCAGCGCAGTCCACCCGCATTTGCCATCCCCTTCTACGGTATGCACACCAGCTCCAGCCGAGGGGGTGATAACCCTCCCACCTTGTGTCAATGTTGTGCTGCACCGCAAGCTGAGCGCCTGACCACCGATGTGCTCCTGTACCCTCCGGCCCAAAGCACTCGGTGGGGGAGCTAGCTCCTGTCCCTTGTCAACTCGCAACACACCTTGGTGGTCCGAGTCCGAATCCGCAGCAGGGGTGTTCATAGAGCTCGTGAGAAAAATCGCCAGAAGCAAGAGAAAAAACGGCCTCATGATCGCGTTTCTGCCTGCTGGACTGCGGTCTCTTTCACAGCGCTGGCTGGGTGCTCAGCAACGTTGCAACTCCCAAGCTTTGTTTTTTTGTGTAGGGGACGCTACTGCTGCTGTCCCCGGCGTTATTGTTCCTTTTCCACGGTCTACTCGTCCAGTCTAGCCCTCGTCGACGCAGGTATCCACAGCTCAACTCGGGCTCAATTAGGTTCGATAAATATCGCATATAAGAGTCATCGTAGCTGGGAACGGAGCTCATTCGTGGGTGTAGTCACATAAGGGTTAACACCCGGGAGAATAACGTAGGTACGTATATACGTACATTTCCGCGGCGAAATACTGTATTCACTTTCCCTCTATCATGTGTCTTGAGAGCTTGCACAAATCCCAAGACAAGATGACAAGACTAGCGGTGGGTATGTGCGCCGGTCTATGGGCTTACGAAGATCCTCTGGTCGCTCAAATGAGAATGCATGAAGCCCCTTTCTGTTGGCAAAAAGGTTCGTTTCAGCATTTTTTCCATTCGTCTTGGTTCCGCCTGAAAAATGGCGGTTTCGCTGGCCCGCAAGCTTCCCCGAAGGTGTTCATACTCCCCCCCTCCCCCCGCCCTTTCGCACACATTTGCCGCCGTAACGTCCGCGGCCTCGCCCTCTTCAGCGAAGTTCACGGCGTCGTTGGCGACAAAGGCCTGTGAGATGAACAAGGACATACGGGCTTCCATTGTTCAACAGCCTCGGGGAAGCCCTCGACGTCATCCCGGAGATAAACCTGCTGGAGAAAACCTTCAACCAGGCGCGAGTATTGCTCTCCTAGGACAGCCAACGGAGCGTCTTTGACGACGTGCTACATCGACCGTGCCCCGTCAATTTATGCGCACAATTTATCGCCTAAGACGCGTCGGGCCATGAATTTCCTGTCGCTGTGTCGGGGGTGTCTGAAGTCGGAACGTTTGGGCTTTGGAGTCAATCTCATGTCACTTCCTTCCGCTCGCAGGGTGCGACACCCTTTGCGCCGTGTCTTCGACAAGGTCGTCAAGGCTAGGAATCTGACGGCGGAGATGGTCACGTCGAATGAGTATCGAAAACCAGATGTTGAAACCGTACGTGACTGCCTCGAGTCCTGCATCGGCCGCGGTTATAGCGGCAGACGGGCTGGGGACGCCGGAACAGCAGGAGAGGGTTCTAAAGTTTCCCCCCTCCCAACGCCGTGGGTGTGTGTCTAGGTTTCTGACGAGAGCATGGCCTGCGGGACAGAACAATTCTGTTAGATTCCGCTTGATGTTGTGGTCTTGCGTGTCTTCGTTTTGTGTATTTGTATATTTATTTGTTTTATTCACTATGTCATGGGACAGGGTAGTGACGCTTGCTGCTACTGTCAAGCGCTGGGAGTGTAGTACTGTACTTCCACCGATGATCATGTTTTCGTTGTGTTTTAGGCTCTCCCGCTGGTTTCGAGAAAGAGGCTCGGAAGGGTGGTTGCGTAATGTGTGAGTATATTGAGTCCCTCGATGCTGCTTTAGGGAGGACGTTGCGAGAGTCGTCGAGTGGTCGCAGCAGTATTTGCGTAGAAAAGGGTCTTGTATCTCCCCGGGTGATTCTGTTGTGCTCTGATTGTTATTGTTACCTCTGTCATGGAACAGGCCTGTATCATAACTCTCCGTTATTTTATTATTGGCCGTGCGGGCATATGGAGGAGCTGCGTGTTGTAGGTCTGTCGTCGTTTCTACCTCTGTCGAGGGACAAACTGGGCGTGATGACTCTCGGTTGTGGTGTGCTTTTGGGTCGTGCGGGCACATGGAGGAAGGAGATGCGTGCAGCCGGCGGACTAGATCAATCATAGCGGTTGTGTCATGACAATATGCGTAGAGGGCCGTGATGTGTTTAGGTCCTTTTTTACTAAGGCTCCCCCGCTGGTTTCAGAGGCTCAGCGTGCGTGTCCACGTTTCCTGATAATGTGTATCTTATTGGGTCCCTCGACGCTGCGTCAACGAGGACTTTGCGAGAGCAATCGGCCAGGGGTTGCCGAGGTGGTGAGCAGACCCGAGGTTGGACAACCCAACCGCATCTCAGGGGCCCCGACCTTGCCGATGACCCCCCCCCCCCCCTCGTTGCCAAAGCGCTCCCGGGGGAGTTCGACCTCCACCTGTGATATATTTATTGCCCGCCACAGCAGCATGTTGCCCTCGGGCGTGGGAAGTGGATGAGGTGAGGAGGGGCCACGCCCGTGTCGCGGTGTGATTTGTTCCCACACCCTCCTGCTACTCCGCTTTTTGCGCCCCGTGTTACAATCTTGTTGCTTTCAGATTTGCATAGCATATGTACCAGAAAAACATAACCCAAAAATAAAAAAAAGTAGCCCGCGTCGGTCTCTACTGATTGTCCGCCACAGCCTATGTTGCCTGCGGGCGTGGGACTGCCGTGTATCCTCCTACATACAGCAGTAGTCTCCGAACGTCGAGTATCGCGGCCACACCGGCTGTTCCGTGAAGCACTCAGGATAGGAGTCTGACCGTTCCCTTGTAATAGTTCACCGTGATATATCAATATTAAAAGGAAAATTGACTCACTGCTTATTTATGTACCAGTATATTCTGTTCGACGGATAAACTTTCCTATTTGATGCACTCGACAATGATGGTTAACGTCACGCGATGACGACATCCTGTGAGTATAGATATTCAACATGATAGTGCAGCTCCCATGGTCAAGTCAGACTTCTATGGAAGCCAGAAACGAGAGGTTTCGCCTACGTACAATGTAGGCCAAAACTTCCCTGAACGTCATAACTCCACGCAAGTCTCATTATGGCGACGTTGCGGAGGTTGTTGTGCATCCACAGCGGGATTTCGACTTACTTCCCGTTGTCTCATCATGGCTGGTCAGTATTGCCACCACACTCTCGGACCTTCACGACATCTGATTCGGTCTTTGTCTGAGACACCGGCGCCTGCTTCATGCACCAATCAGGGCACAGGTCTCCACTCCACACCTCGCCCGTCTTCGCCTGTCCTGGCAGGGACTCGACGATGTCGCAGACAGGCTCAGGGATACCTTTGACGTGGAATGGCAGAAGAGAACCAGGGCAATCCGAGCACACCTGATGCATATCGTTTTCGGACGGCGAGAAAGGAGAGACAGGGATATTGACTTGACAACAAAACTCAAGCTGAAGCTGGCCCTTACAGCGCGTCCCAATCCTAAAGGTTTCGCCTTCGGAAGTCTTCATAATGGTCTTGCCCCGCCCCTTCTATTTAGGGTGGCAGTCTACATCTTCCCGTCTATACTGCCGCGCAGAGCAACATCCTTTATGATTACCGTGTGGCGTGGCATACGATCACAGCGTAATCAGCTTGAGTATATCTGTAAAGATGGCGTACAGTCTAACGGGGGAGGGAATGCGACCGTGGGATCGTGGGCGATAAACCTAGCCGGTCGACGGCTACGACGAGTCGGTGGCACGTTGATGCGCCGGCCGAGGTCACACGTCTCTGGAGCATCAAGGCGAAACCAAACAATGCGTGTTATTTTGGCTGTAGTCTGCACACAGACCTGGAACGACTTCCCGACCTCGGCGCTAATTTTTCGTATCTCGTCCGTTGATGCGGCGGCCTTTGCGTAAAGCTTCGCCTTTGTTTCCACGGCCCGGCCGACCATGACCTGGAAATTTCATTGCGAGGGCAGGTAGGCCGGCGAAAGAAGGGGATCACTAGCCATTGGCTCGGCCTTGAAGGGAAAGGTGTAGACGGGCTCAACGTACGTTGTTGTTCATACAGCCGTCCGTTGGATTCGTAAAACGGACACCAACAAAGGCGACTGAAAGGAACCGTTTCGGTCAGGGTAAGCAATTGTCTTCGACTTACGTTAGCCAGCATCTCTGTTATCGTGGAGTGCACCATGATTGTCCCGTTGCGCGTTTCGGGGGCGGACGCGTCTGTGGAGACGAAGTGAAAGTGTTGGCTGGCGGCGAAACGACGAAGTCCGTTTCTCGATTTTTGGTTTTCGAAGAGTTTCGCCTGGTACATCTGATAATTTGAAAAACAAGAGCGCAGGAGCATCGAACGGATGCAATTCCTCATGTTTTAGTTCGTGACGCCCGGCCAGTTCATACCGTCTACAGGCTGCACTCACAGAAAATGCTCGAATTGAGTTCATCAGCACCCCACCGTGACGACGACAAAAATATGTGGTGAAGATGTGGTACGGGAGAACTCGGCCCGTGCATTGGATACCGTACGCATATGGCCCTACGCTTCTAGAGCCCGTACAGCGTGGTGGCTTAAAGAAATGGCTGTTACCCAAACAGGGTCGTGGATGAAAACAAGGACTCGCGTGCAAGCCGACAGCGCCAGTGCGTCCTGCACAGATGACGGAGAAAAGTGAGCATCTAGGCGAAGAATCCATGTACGAGAAATTTAGGTAGACTACGGTGCATTTATCAGTGAACAAATATGAGGGAAAATAGTGTATTTGTCCTAGCGGCCTTCTAGGTAACGATTGTTGATTGATGTGTACGTGTTATACTTTTCTGGGACTCGTACATGTGAACTATATGATCCATGCATTAGTCTCGTGTGCCCCAACTTGCTTGCGAACTCTGACTGTCTGGGGCCTGTTTGGTACTTACTATCTGTCACCGCTGTGGCTTCTGTAGTGTTCTATGTTGGGATTTTTCGCCTGGGAAGTTCGTCAGTGCGGATGTTAGAAGGAATTTAGCAGAGATCGGGACGGACCATATATAAGGCATCCCTTCGACACGATGACGGCGATTCTAAACCCGCCAAACTCACAGGAAACACGCTCATGAACGATACGCGAGAATCTCGGGTTTGGTAACCGTCCATTTTACCGAGTCCATTGTCGTCGTTTGGCCACCTGCCGCCGAACCGAATCCCGACGCCTTTCAGAGCGGTCATGGTAGGGTTCTCTTCCGTCCAGTAACACCCCTGAAAGTTGTTACGCAGCGTGTGAAGTAAACGGGAAGTTCGGTGCCATCACGACGACGAATCGTAGACCTCGAAAAGAGGTTTCCGTTCACAGGCGGAAGATATGGTGCTGGCTCTTTTTCTTTGCCAATCTCCTGTGCATGACTCAACAGCACCATCATACTGCCCCCGTCATGGTGGATTGTAATGGTGGCTCAGAGGGGTCGCTCAAGAACAAATTACGGCAGAGATCCTGCGTTGGTAAACCAGTTGTCGCATTCTTCGACGACCTCGGGTCGTAGGCTGTCCAATCGCCTGTCTTGGGGCTGTGAAGCTTACGAAAATTCCCACAGGAAAACAGGATTGCACTTACAAACGAAGCCATTTGATCCATAAACAAGAGCTTTCCTTCCCAGCTAGGAGGCAGGGCATCCATGAGTACCTGCGGGTGCGAGCATGTTTGTGAGACACGAGTTAAGTATCGGTGTCTTAGGAGCGAACACAGTGCGCGAGTGACGGGGAACCCAACTGCTACCCTTCAAGGAACGAGCAGAGTTGTTCCAAGGCCAAGCGCAAGAAGCCCTGGTTGACCCCCGTGAAATCATTTCATTTGATTTCCCAAGCCGCCTGTATCCCAATCCCCTGTCAAGATGCGAACATGTTTTTGACCACATGTTTCATAAATCCCAACAGAGGCGCTGACATCCCATGCCCTCGATGCTGGTAAGCCCTGCGTCAAGGCCAAGAACTAGTCTAATTTTCAGGAAATCTAGGTCCTACTTTCTCTGACCGCCGAACAGGATGTTCAGGAGTATAATCGGCTACTGCCCATCTTCGTTCGGTGTCACCTCAACCGAGAATTGGGTGCCTTCCGCCCTGGTCGGGATCAAAGTAGACGGAGCCATCATCACCGTCGGCCACGAGCCACCATCTCGAAAAACGGTCGACGTTAGGAACTGCCTGGCGGAGTGTACGAAGGCTGACGTGCTCCCGCTTGTGAGTTTTTCGTTGTGGCAGACCACCGAATCTGACGGGTTGAGGAGGCTAGCGTTGGTGACAAAAAGCAGCATGATAATCGTCGCGGCTTCGACATAGAACAGACATTGCGGCAAACAGAAGGTTTCTGGTTCCGGACAATTTCGATGGAATTGGCACCACTCCAAAGGATATATGGCAAGCTCTCCGGACCCGTATCGCGATGGTTTCTACCTTACATATTGAGCAACTTTGGCAACGTGAATGGCGCTCGGCTTGGGGGTTGTTTTGCACGGCAGAGGTCCCGGGTACCATCAATGAATAGTCGCCTTTCACCTACAGTACGTGTACACGGAAGAACAATACGGGAACAACAGAATTGTAGCCCATTGGTCTTAAGTCTGAACGACCACGGACGGTCAAGAATAGCGCACTCAATTTGTCCGACATTCTTCTTCATATTGAACGGCTCCTGTCAACTCACACCTGCAGAAGCTGAGAATTTGAATAGACTACGTCAACGGTCGACCGACAAACATGCTAGAGCATTTCAACCGCAATGCACCCATCCAAACCATCCAATACAGCTACCAGCCTATGAGGCTACCCTTACCGGTACTGGCGGTGACTGAAAACAGCCGCATGTCCTGGATAGAGAGAGTGGAGGCAAAACCAGACGTTACGAAGGCGTGTGCGTTCAAAGGTTGCACGACAGGCCGCACAGAGGGGCGACAGTGGAACCAATTCCACTGCTTCATCCTCCACGTAAAGAGAGAGAACACATGTTATAGCTTCGAAAGTACTCGTGCCCTCACTTGCTGAGAGTGTACTGCAGGCTTGGAAGCAGGGTTGGTACCGATGAATATTCACGTTGATTACGCAGATTGTTCATCTTGCCACGAGATAGCGAGCGTCGAGCGTCGGTGTTAGACCCTTCTTTATGGAAACAGAATCTTGCAATTATATCTTGGCATTTTGACCCAAGATTTGCTCACAATATATCTCCACCAAGATTTGCAGTATCGCGATTTATGGGGAGAATATGTTGAACGTTGAAAAAGCGGCGAGTTGTTCCTCTCTTCTGCTTGAAGTTGATAAAGGGCCACTTGGTCCACAGAAAATGCCAAGGTGTAGAGAAAAGTGACCATGACGCAGTTGTAGGAGGAGCGTCCCTCCCCCAGCTGTATTGCTTCAACACTTTGGGTGGATACTAGCGATGGGCGCCTACCTGGGGTGCAAAATAGAAGCCGTTGCCCAAGAACTCATATCAAGCGGAGAAACAAAATTGTTCCATTGCTGTCCAACTGACAAGAAAGTGCATCAACCCGAAGCCGATTACACCCGTGCACGTATCTCACTATGTAGCAGGCGTACCGAGGTCAAACCTCCGGCGCTGTCATCTGCACTCATGGATCTGGTTCGGGTGCAAACGGGTTGGGTGTGGGGTGATTCGATGAAGCGATAGAAGCGTCGCACACGACAGAGCTGTGTTGGCAAACATCCCTCCTCCTCTATTTTTCTACTAACGGTCCCTCGACTGACTGGTGATGACGCACGTGGAACGAGCCACGGCAAATATGCATTTCTTCGCGCGCCTTGGTCGTTTTCGATCGCTGTCGGCGCCCGTGGCGCCGACACAGTGACGCCAGGGTGCGCTTGCGACCCTTGCGAGTGTGCCACGTGCAGATTTCATGGCGTTATGGGCGATTAGGTTGACTGACCTTCGGTGATCGCGCCGCACCCAGGCAAGATTTGTTTCGCCTCGTCAACATTTGTCGGAAGGCTCGTTTCGACAGATCTTGAGTCAAGATTTGTTCAAAAGGGCAGATTTCGGGCCCCGAGAAATCTTGGCCAAGATATATCGGAAGATTTCGCTCCCATAAATCGTGAAACTGGCAGATCTTGGCCAAGATCAAGATTTATCGACAAGATTTTGTTCCCCACTTCACCATTTCGAAAATGCTTTCAACCAAGCTCTCACTCACGCCTCGCTTGGAACCGAGCGATGTGTCTTCACCAAGGGAAAATTTAGTCAAACAGGATAGATATCGTAACAACGTGTCTTCTGGGATCGCCAGCACGGCAAACCACAACGTGGCTCAACGGACATTATTCAACAAACGCTTACCTGATACGTTAGGCGAAGGTTTCCAACCTGGACGTCGGCGTACCCCCAGCATTTCCGAAGTACGCTTGAGATGATATCGTTCTTTTGTCCTGCCGCTAAGACCATGTCTATCAGGGTCAGAAACACGCCTCTTTGGACCGATCCACCCAACACCAGAAGCCACGTCGGCTCCTTGTCCAGGCTGGCCAGGAGCATGAGATCCTCATAAGAAAATGTGTCGAGAACACACGATATGGGTTGAAACACCCACCCGTTTCTCAAAACTCCATGTGCCGCACTGGCCACGTTCGAGGAAAGCCATGTACCGGGCCTCCAAAATGTATCCGCGATATCGTTGTTGGCATCTTCATGGGAGCCACAAACCGGAAGGCATGTGACATCCAGCGTCGGAGCATCGCCTGCGATCGTGAGAGAGAAAGGGCTGCCCAAGATCGGAATACCCTCACCCTTTCGGGAAAGCTCGACTTCATCGATGTACACCCAGTAGGTCCCGGGGAAATCGCTCTTGTACGTGGCGGTCAGAGTGCCGTTCTTGCTGCCGTCGTCAACTACCTCCGCGATCAAGATCTGCGGTGTGGTGCGATACAATGTTCGTGTGTGCACACATGTACTAACGGGAGTTGTACTCCAAACGAATAGAAACTTCGTCAGTCGACGGAGGCATCTTCTTCATCGCTCCACACCAGCGCTCGCGGCATTTCTGCCTGGTAGGAGCTCCACTCTGTTGTCATACGGAGGGTTTCATCTCCCTGAGACCCACTACCCACCCCTTCGGCGTTGCTTGCCTTCGATGCTCAGTGGAGGATCCAATAAAAGAAATACACGAGGCTCACTTGTCATAAATATGGGCGCAACCGACAGATACTCCGCCGCCGTCTTTGTGAGGTACCAGCAGCAAAAGTAAGGTGTGAGTTCCTCGCAGAAAATGGCGTATAGCATGGCAGTTGTTCATTCTGTCCTTTTCACCACCGTTCCCAGGACCGTAAAATCGCGGCCGTGTATATACATTTTCGCCATAGAACGTTTCATGGCAAAGTGGTGCGATGCCTCCAGATCCTGTGCGGAAATCGAATTGAACCATGTGGTTTCGAATATTTGCAGACATCGTTGTACGATAACTCTGGAATGTGAGGTACTGAGAAAATCCGTGTGGTTTCCGACGATGCCATGTACAGCGGAACTATAGTGCCAGCACCGGCACTGTTGCGGAGGGAAAACTTGCCCCGGCATCGTTTGCACACAACTACCCTGGGTTGTGAGTCATCGCACCCGTGCGATGACTCCGCACTAAGTTAGGAAACCTATAACATCAAGGTGGCCATAAATACTCATTGGCGCCACAAATGTCTCCGAACATGTTGATTCCTCCACATGACGAACATCAACCTTCAACCTCTCTTGCATCATGGTATACACTGGGACAATCAAAATGGAAGCAGTGTCGTTCGGGCTCCCGTGGGTTTCAAGTATCGTGGACCTTTCTTGGCGACCAGATGGTCTGTAAATATGCCGATTTGCACTGCTGAGACTTCGGCCTGTCGTTTATATTCTTCAGCCGCCTTCGCCATCGGGGGTGGGAAGATTGGTGAATGGTTCTTTCGTCATACCGTAGGACCGCACGCATGCGTGGGTTGTAGGTAAAGACGACGCTCGACGTGTGGACCTGCCCCGTGTTCCCATTATGCCTGTCCCACCTGATCCTTGTTCGCGATCCACACGTAGATGAATCTTGTGCTGCTGTTTGGTTCCCAATTAGGCAACGAGCGGAGTGTATCTCCCACCAACTGAATCGTGAAAGATGCCGGTCTTCCCACCGTCGCCTTGTGTAGTCCATCACCAGAGGCCGTGTGGAGGGCCCTTTCGTGGGATCTGTAGCGATGAGCCTAGCCAACAAGCGGTCCGGTAGGCGGCACTTTGTGCGGTAAAGTCGATGTCCGATTTCATACCTACTGAACTACGTGTCCAGATTTTATTGAGTGCCCCTTTTCGCTGTGTACGAAAAAGAAACCGATACCTGAGTGCGGTGTGCTGGAGGATCGAGCTGAAAAATGCGGAAAGTATTCCGCGACAGCGACCGGCCTCGTCAAGAATCTTTGGGCTATGAGCTCGATCAAGGAACGGAGTGCGCGAATGGCTCTAGTTCGTGGGTTAAAATCTCCTCGGAGTGCAAAAACGAGCAACTGCTTGACTCATAATTGCTACCCGAATTATCTTGATCCAAGTTGAAGACAATCAACGAAGGAGCCGAGGTTACGTGTCTTCAGTCTGATCCGGCCAGTGCGTCAAAGGTACCCGGCACAAACGAACACACCGACGCCCTGAGCACATGGGACAGGAACATAGAAACATGCCACCCAACAGTTTCCCTTTTCACAAAACTCGGTATTTTCATTGGCCAGCAGGTGAGGTGGTTTCTGATGAGAACCGAAAATCCAATTCAATAATGTGCAATTTCTTATTCGGAAAAGAGGAAAAATTGTGTCTGCCAGACAATTCTTATAGTATAGTCGGGTTGTTTTTGGCGCTGCTAGCCATGGAATGTGGCCGTTGTATTTTTTCCACTTGCTACCCCGTATCACCTCATCACCGGTCGGTTTGGGTTTTCGGGGATCTCCGTGCACTGGGTTAGCCCGTACCTGTGCGTTGCGCGCTGGTTGGACAAACGACATGCCGCTCACGGGTATATATACAGGTTTCTCTCCGTGTCACCGGTGGCGTTAGAAGAATCCTTCACCACTGACTGAACCAACAACAATGACTCAGCCCCTCCGACAGAGCGCGGAAAAGAAGATTTTGTCCATCGGTGTTGTTGGGATGATACTGCGTCTCTTTGCGGGCGTGTACGTCAGCTGGCCAACGTTTTACTTCAGCGCACCTGGCCACAGCACAGTGCTGTTAGGATTGATTGGAGCCCTTGCTGAGCTCGCTACGACCAGTACTTACTGCACAATCGATGGTTTGTCCGTGTAGTGTGCCTTTCCAAACCCAAAAAAAAACGTGCCGTCTGATAAATATTAATAATAATAGTTGTCATTCCCAAACGCATGTCCGCTTGGAAACGTGCAAGTCAAAAATGTGCAACCGGAAACATGCAATTTTTGAAGAAACAACGTTTTTGGTCCAGCATCAAAAAGTACACTCTTTTCCGACAAACAACAATCTATTTGAACCGGCTTTTTAGCGCCGCCCATGCTACTAAAATGTTCATGGCACACACACTACATGCGTCCAGTTGCTGATACCGTAGTGTAGACTGCAGGAACAGAAGTACAAAATAGATTACGGTTAACACTCGTGTATATGCAGCACTGGGCCCTTTATCGGGTGGATTGGGAATGACTGCCCGATAGAGGGAGCGAAAAACAGGGAATCGGTCGGGTATATACCCACCACCAAGTAGAGGAACCCCGCCTGTACCGTTGCTCGTTCTGCAGGCAAAGGCCGAATGGAAGATGTCTCACCTGCTCGTTGTCCGGTTTATCCTGAGAGCCACGGTCGACATTCACTGTAACGGCGGGCGGGGCAACTCGGGGATCGTCTTGGGCAGCCAACGCGCAAGCAGTCACGAACAGAAGTCCAGCATTAAACCGGGCCTTCGTTACCCTCATGGTCGTTTTCCTGGCAATTCACAAGCCGTTGTCCCGGCACGGTGGTGGCTCTGGAGTAGAGTGGAAAAAGTGGTACAGCTCGTCAGCGCTCACATTGGTTTAAACATGCCACGGACTGTAACTCATGAAGGCACTACAGTAGTCTAGGTGAAACAAGAAACGAGCTTTCTGAGCGCCCGCGGGAACGACGCGCTAGAGTAGCGTGCTGTGTGCGTGACCTATGCATAGCCGACGAAATTTTCAAGACGGAGACGAACAGCTGTCCACTACTGTGTCGGGAGCGAATATTGAACTGTTGCTCATTGCTCCGTCAAACACGCGTACACAGATACCTAGAAGAGGGAACGATCAAATCAGACTGCCTAGTGCCAGAAGCACAGAGAAACGATGATGCCAGGAACTTATTGGAGAACATCGGGCCCTACTGCACCGGGGATGCCGTCGCCCTACCGATATACTTTCCACACACCCGCCTATCCCGGAACGTCCCCAAAGATTCGCATGGAGTGCTGGGCACCCCAAACAACGCCTCTATTCTAGGAAACGTTTCACGTAGTAACACCAAGTATACCGACCAAACCAAAGCCTTCCGTCGTAGCATACCAATACAACCACATCCGAATTTGCAATAACCGTTGTTCTATGAAGCTGTAGATCGCCCAACAAAACGTTACTTCTAGGAATGCCCGGATTCTTCTGGTATCAAAGGTCTGTTACACACATGGAGAAACAATAATGTGTCTGCCAACGCTATGCGTGGAGGCTCCAGGATCCGAAAAAATCATGCAGAAGGCAAAATCAAACAACACGGCGAAGAACAATCTCCCACACTACTAACAGTTTTGCTAAATTGCCCATGGGACACCCATGGGTCGCCCATGGGCGTAACCCAGTGGGCGGGGGGGGGGGCAGTACATGCAACGGAGAAGCGGCGGTCAACGACATCGACGACGGCAGCGATGATGGCGGTTGGTGCGCAGGTGGGGTTAGTGACTGCTAGGATGACAGCGTCTGTGGCGAGAGGGGGGCGTCCACGCACCCCGTCCGATCCCGGCACCGTGTGTTCGGGGGTGCACGGCGCCAACGATCCCGGGGCGGACGACCTGGTCGATGGCTCCAGCAGCAGCAGCAGCAGCGGCAGCAGTAGGAACGACGAGGCAGAGGGGATGGATGTGGCCTGGTTTCGGGCACTGTTGCGCCCCTTCGACCCGGGGAAGCTGTGCCGGCTGAAGGCTGGGAGAGTGGGGCCGATGCTGGGGATGGACACCCCGTTCGACCGTGGAAAGATGTCGCGGGGGCACCGGCCGGGGCGCTCGTGTTCGCGACCGGGGCAGCGGAAGGAGAACCATGAAGGGCAGAAGGGAGTTCGGAGGATCGGGCGAATCCAACAATGAAGGCAAGCAGCGCGACTTCTACTGGGGTCTTAAACTTGCCAAGGCACGCGATGTTTGTGTGCGTATTCTTCTCATTTTTCGGTAATTGCTTTTGTGCAGGATGTTGTTCTTGTGTTTTGATCTTCGGATACAATGTCACTGCTGCGCGTTTCACCGTTGTTTGAATGTCTGCAAAACATTTTCCTGTCGTTGGCACATTTGCAGGTTAGGATGGGCTTTGGTTTTGTTCTTTAGAGATATCCACTCGCGTTTTACCTTGCCCGGGCACTAATTTCCACGGCCAAATGGCAGGAAATTCCATGGTAGATTATTGTTTTTCTGGGAGGCAAATGGAATGTTGCGGCAGGGGGGCTGTTGTTTGCCAGGCAACATGTTTTTTTAGTTGCGTTTACATGAAATGTCCGAGCAGGGGGGCTGTTGGATGGATGAGTCGAGAGATGGAGGAATCGAAACTGCAGCAGTATTGATGAACGTTTTACTAGACACTTCTTTCAGAACACGTTTGGGATGACGTCATCGGTTTGTTTGCGGACTTTGCTTTTGTACGGGTATGTCTGTGTATAGGAGGAAGGATTTGGCATGTTTCGATAAGTCATGGTTGAAGCTTTTGTGCTTCCAAAGGTTATTTGAACTGGTCATTGTGTTGAACATGATTTCTATCTGAGGAATTTGTTCTGGGGCATTAGGGCAAGTTTTCTCGGAGTTACCCGTGCCCGTTCTGACGCAACTCCGATGTAATGTGCAACTCCGATGTAATGTTGATCTTTACTTGGTATTTTTCCAAGGGTAATGGTTTGCGTTTGACTGCTTGAGAAATCGATGGAACATTTTCTCAGGAGAGTGATTTGCTAATTGATATGGACCTTTTAGGTGATAGCAGTTTGACATCATCAGAAGATTTCGTAAAACATGTTTTACTGGGAAATCGACAGATTTCGTAGATCATTGTTTTGTTGGGAGATTGTTTGAATTGGAATATGGTGGATGGTAAGTACATTTTACCATCCGTGCGAAGGGATCTTTACTTCTAAATTCTGTCTCCTCATTGGTTGGAGATGCGCGTGCGCGCGCTCCCTCGGCGAACCTCTTTTTGGTTCTATTCACAAAGCTCTCCTGGGGTGGGGAAACCCCGGCGCTGTAGCTACATTTCTCCGCACGCCGCGCACGAGGTGCGCGTGCTGTGAAGGACGGACAGGGCGGCCGTGCTACCTTATCGACACGTAGCCTCTAGAGGGAGGCATTGCATAGCGTGGCTTCCACCGTTGGCCACCACAGCAGCGGTCAGTCGTTGATGCAAGGAGGTGAGCGGCATGCTGCCGAGCACGGGCTCAGCTGGCGGCGCGCATCATGATGGTGATCATGATGCAGGCGCGGATGACTGCGTGGATGGTGCGGCTGGTCGCCAGCACAAGCCGTTGTCGCACCCCTTGCCCGCAGCCCCATGCGCGAACACTGGAGAGAGTTCCAACTTCTTGCAGCAAAACCCTCCTCGAGAACGGACAGCGACCTCTTCCGGTAGCGAGCCGTCGGGCAATTCCCATCTGTCGGTCAGCGGCGCGCCTGGCGGTGTAGCCACCGTCGCGAACACATCTCCTTGCGACACTCCTGCGGCTATCGGAGAGGCTCGCAGAAGTGTGAGTGGACGTGAATCACCACCAGCGAAACGCCACGCGTCGCAAAGCCCATCATCCCGGGGGAGTTTGGGACGAGATGCAAGAAATTCATGCGAGGGCTTCGGGGCCGGTGAACGTCGCGGCAGGGTGCTGCACTCGTTCCTTGCTACAGCTGTGCAGATGTCCCAAGCATCGGAGGCCTTGGGGACGCCAGGGGAGCTATCAGGTGATGGTTTCGAATTCGCGGAACCACATACGCCCCTTTCGTCTGCCATTGGGGTACATACGGGACCGGGATACTGCTCTACCGGTACGCACGGGCCGAGTGCACCACTACTACATTCGGAGGTAGAGGGAGTAGCGCAGCTAAACTATCATCGCTCACGCCAACTTGGAGCAATGTTGCCACCATGGCAGCGCCTAGCCAACGAAGTGCGGTGGCGACCGCAGCAGCAGCAGCAGCAGCAGCAGCAGCAACAGCAGCAACAGCAGCAACAGCTGTCAGCCGCCGGTTGCTTTGGAGGGGTATGGCCGCCGCCCCGGCCGCCGCCACGGCTTTTGATGGCGCAGCAGGGCGCAGCTGGCGGGGCGGTGTTACAGCCGCAGCGGGATAGACGGGTACGTCAGCCACTTCCGCCGCTGCCGTTGCCTGTGCAGCAGAGGACGGCAGGTGGCATCGTCGGTGACGCCCTGAACGGCCATGGTTTACATCTGGTTTTGCAGCATGGCGCACCGCATGGCTCAGGGACAGGCGGTCATGAGGAGGAAGACGAGGGGGGGGGCGGGGAGGCAAAGGATGCCTCCAGCGGAAAGCCCGTCCCTGTCATCGTACCTGCTAATGCTACGTTGGCGAAGCGCAGCTGGTGCTGTTCGAAAAGCAAGACAGTTACTTCGATTTGTCGTGGGTGTCTCAAACGATGGCATTGCCACGTCGACCATGGGCTGATCGACCTTACCAAGGATCGCTTCATTTGCTGCTTCTGCGATACGAAGACGAAGTCGGCATGTTTGTGTCACGCGTCTGTGAGTACCCAATATCGTTTTCCGCTGTTCAGTTTCTTTGTTCAATAGCAATTCTCTTTAATTATACGACCAAGAGTGATGTGCCAAATCGAGTTCTCGGATGCTTCTCGCACACGTGGGTGTCACCCGATTCGATGCCACCCATGTGGTTTGTTTGAGAGGAATATGCAACAATATCTTGACTTCCACAGCGCTCGCGCAGCCTGGTAGGCTGTCACCTGTTTTCACCTAGTTGCTCCGGGAATGTTGCTGGTGATCTGTATCGACTCCAACTTTTCTGGTTGCTTGACCATCGGTGTTTGTTAGGTCTTCACCCTCTCGCAGTGCGACCAAGACCGGAGCGTCCACAATACGACCTGCTCTCAGCTTGCGTGCTGTATGTATACTCATTTCCCCCCCCTCTATTCTTCCCACCATCACATGCTTCGTACTCATACAGGTGCAAGAAGAACAAAGCTGATAAGCGAGCGGCATCCCAACGAGCTCAAGCCGGCCACATCCACGGGAGTAGCGTGTCCCGAGTGATTCACCGCCAGGCTCGAACCAACGCTTTCAAGCTCCGTCTTCCTCTCACGGTGGCGGCGCGCAACTCTAGAGATAGACAAAAGGCACTGTTTTCGGTCTCCACTACCGCCCGCGGCGACCGTGTCATGGTCATCACCGACGTCACCGCCGAGCAACCTGGTGCGCCTGCAAGCTGCACCGTGAACTGCTGCGATAACCGATGCCACAAGTGAGTCGATGTAGTAGTTGGGGGATGTCACGAAACCACAGTGCTTGTGTGGTGTTCGATACTCTTCCTTCTCACCGGCAAATCTCCGATCGAAACTACACGTTATTGTTGCAACCCAACGCTTGTATAACTCGTTTGGAAAAGAAAGACATTTGCAGGGCACAGGTAGGGGCCCGGCCGTTCTGCATTCTCATTTTATTTTTCGACAGTTGCTGCTCGCTAAATTATCAGAAATTAATCGGCATATATATTTTTTTCTGACGATGCACTGTCACTTTCACAGTTGCTTTCGTTTGGTTTTGCAGTGTGCAAGCGGAACCCGAGCACGCGCCAAACGGGGAGCAGGTTGCAGCGGGCCAATGTGAGCACGCTGACGTCATTCTCGGAGATGGAACCACTCCGAAGGCGGATATTCCTGAAGCAGAGCCGGTTGTCTTTGGCAAGGATGGGGAAGGGATCGAAAGCGTTGGGGATGCAGCGATAACCCAGATGGTTTTGACTCAGGGTAGCTTTGACACCATTCTAAGGATCGCAGCGACTGCAGAGGAGCATAGGGTGCCGCTGTTGATGCGCTTAGGCGAGACTCAGACGTATGTTGTGTACCATCCGGGTCATCGGTCTATTCCTGGCAGCTGGGCACACGTCGAGACGGATTTCCCGCAACCACCCGGGTCGAAGAAAGCGCCATCAACGAGAAGGCGGACCACTGAAAGGAAGCAGATCCAGTGCAAGGTGATAGTCTACTACTGCCGATGCATGACTATTTTTTATTCGGAGCTCTAGAGCGCTTCTGCTGTGTATGTTTTCCCGCCCCAACCTTGAAATTCGTTATGCAAACCACGCCAGCAATATCGGTGCCTGTGTTGTCTAGCTCGGATGGTAAATATCGTGGTTTACCTGACGTACAGTATTTTCCCCTGAGGATAGCTGGTCGGAAAGGCAAAGTAGCAGCGAATGATACTTTCGGTGCTTTCAAGATGGTGTACATCATAGCACGTAGCATTGACTGTTTTCACGCAACAAACCTGTGTCCCACCAACTATCTACCCCCTGGCGCCCGTCACTTGGCTATGATCATAGGCGAATGGGGGGACGGGGTGCACCTCGTCCAAGAAAGGCTCTAGCGGGAAATGCGTGCATACGCATATCGTTGGGTTGGGTGTCATGGGCAGTGATTGTGGAAGCAGCTCCCCCCTCAACTTAGACGGCGGGAGCGACGAAGATTCAGGCGATGAGGGCATCGGTTCAGGGGCGGCGGAGTACAAGCGTAATGCGCCGGGGTTTGTAGCAAAGGTAGAACAGCTGCTTAGGATGTTCGGCAGCATCAAATACCCGGTCCACGTCCTTGCAGCCCTGTCGGAAGATGGAGAGCGTGGCAAAATGGAGGCGGACGCCTATATTGCTGTAGTATCTCGGTTGGTCTGCATCGTGCAACAAGTAGTTTGATCAGCTGGGTGGAGTGCAAATTCGTTGCAGAGAGGGTTGGTGAGCATCGGTAATACATTTTTCTTGCCTACAGTACTTGTCATTTATAATCGCACGGTACTTGCGTGTAAGAGTTAGGGTACCTCCGTGCCAGGAAAACAACACTATGTTGAGGAAGCTAGTGTGTACCGGCAACATGCACATCAGCTGCGGCGTGTCTCAAGCGATTTTTCTCAAGAATGTCACCCTCGAGGTGGCACGGTCAACCGTCGTGCGATCGTTCTTGAAAGGTGTTCATGTCCTACTTTATCGCAGTACCGAATTAAATACCGGAGTGGAAAATGCAAATAGATGACTTTGTTTTGGTTTGTTGCATCACGATGCGGACTGGTTCCCAAGGCGTTGGTACTACGCGGTGCAGCATGGACGTGTTGATACGTAGGGGCGTGACCCCCCAACGCCTGGAATGAAGCTCACTCCACATTCCCCCGTTGGACTCTTCTCGGCAAGTACGCAAACAGCGTCCACGACCTCGGGGTTGTCTACACAACATGTGTGTGACCCTCATCTCGAAAGGCTTTTAAATGCAATAAATGGGCACCGGGGTAGAACAACTTGGCAGTCTGTGTTAAGTCTATTGCTGGCGTATCCGTCTCAGATTCGTTTGTGAACTGTCTGTTGAATACGTCAGGCGAATACACGACAGTAGAACCCAAGAAAACTTTGTCAACTTCCCACGCTCTACCTTCACCCATGCTTTCATGTCCCCCGTGTCCCCCATTGTTAATGCAGCACATGCCTATCCTCGTCATCACGGACATCATGTGTCGTGTAGGTCCGATCGTCCACGACCGCTGCCAGATGGCGGCACCGAACGAAGGAGTTCTTCCCCGGGTTGGCGAGCCTGACGAGCATGGCATGCGGAAGGTGGACATCCCAGCACTAGCGCCTCTGGGAAATTACTTTCTTGGCGCCGATCAGGTTTCGGAGCCCGTACCGCAGGAGAAATGCACTCAACGCAATGTGTACAATCTCCTGCGCGATGCGCAAACTTCTCCTCCGGTTCAACGGTTGGACTTCGGTCAGCTTCTCAGCGTTTCAGCATGGCAGGATAGCGAAGAAGGGACCACCGCCGTGGACTTCGTGCTGCTTGCTCGGGCCCGTTTGCGGAACCTGCGCCGCCGAAGCCACCACTCCATGGACCTCTTTGAGGTAGTGGCTGTTCTGAACGTGCGCCTCACCAAGCTCGTGGCTTTCATCAGCGAAGGACAAGACAAGGAGGTCCCGCCAGCAGTACTTGTCGAGGAAGAGCAGACGGCCCCGGGCTCGGTGCTGCCGACGTTATCGGCGCAGAGCGTGTTCTCCACACGCGTTCTCGCGGTGGCGACTGGGTCCACCACCGCCAAGGCTCCGGAACTCCCTGCCTTCTCTCAGCATCTTTGCGAACCTGTGGCTGGCCAGAATGATCTTCGACCTGCGGCGCTCGATCACCTGGTTTTGGCCTACGCCCGGGTGAGTACGCCTTCTTTGCGTAGCTGACGTAGTGGGCTGTTGTGCTTTGTCTTTGGCGGTATTATCAATACTGGTGGTTGTTCGTTGCTCCGTTGGTCAAGTGGGTTTTTTTTCGCGTTCCTCATTGAACATCGTTGTCCCTCCTTTTTTTTCTTCCACCTTACGTTCCTTCCGTTTTCCTTCTCGGCGTCGCCGGTTGATTTGATTTCTGCGCGCGGCAAAAGCTACCTTGTTTCATGTTTTGTTATTCAATTCGGAGCAGTGAACATAGGTAGATCACTGCTGACACATTGACATATTACTCATGTGTTGCTGCAATTTGAAAAACAATGCTAGAGACGCTAGAGCGGGGAACAAGAACATCTTTTCTCGCATGCTGGTAAGGACATGCGCATGCTCTGTGCCCACCGCTAAAACTACCACACCTCTCCCATTCAGCGCATGCACTTCGTTGCATATTAAAAGGCTGTAGTGCTCGAAGCTCTTGAGTTGCTGACATGTCAACAAGACTACCCAGCAATGTTTTTTTTTTCTGATGCTTGTACAGAGTTTCCTGTATAAATGCATTAAAGCAGCCCATTGCGGTAACCCAACTATTTAGACAACTTTTTCGACCACACGGTTTACTTTCCGTCCCCTTCTTCGGGACCTCTGACATCTGGATCAGGCCAAGGAGAAGTTCATCGCGATTGGACTTCAACCCGCCAACCAGTGCGCAAAGAAGAGGGCAGGTACGAGGACGTGGACACTTGCGTGTTAGGTGTTGAGGCTAGTTGTTTTGTTGGTCCAATAATCTAAGGACTACCAATCTACCGGGCTGTGTACGTTTTTCCATAATGTGTCAATGTTGGTGCCGGTATCAGGCCGGTATGGTACATGTCGTTCGTTACCTCCAGGCCGGCTCAAAATGATCAAACCTTAGTCAAAACGTTTTCATGAGCCAACACATGGCATGCCGTTTTGTTGTACGTCATCTCTGTTCGTCCTCACAGAACTGGCTGTGCGCTCAGGAGCATGCTTCGGGTCGGCGGTGCAGCGTACGAAAGCCCTTCAGATTCAGGTGGCTCAACATCAACCGGGGAAAAGCGCTGACACCAATGGCATCGTGGAAGAGTATGGCCTTCCGTTCGACATCCAACCGCTGCAGGAGGACCCCACGGCGACAGTGCGCAGAACGCACGCCTTGGGGAGCAATGCCGGGCCTTACTACGGGCCTGACGCCCTGCACGACTGCAACCACGGGGATGACTGCCGCCAAAAGTACGGTGGGATAGACTCATGCGCCCAGCTCTCGGGGGTCAACCTCAACGCGCACGAGCAGAACCATGCGAAGAAGAAAAAGTTTCTGCACATGTTGAATGTCATGAAATTTGACCGCTTTGCGTTCATGGTAACTCTGATCAACGAGACCGAGAATGAGGCAATAAACCGCAAATCGGTGGCAAACATGGTCAAGCGTGTTCGAGGCCATGGCTCGGAACGAGTAGAGATTTGCCAGGCTCAGGTTTGGTTCTGCGGCAGATGCTTCTGCCAGAAGTCTCTAATGCGATCATTCGACCAGTTCGGCCGGGTCCGGCTGACCTTTGTTAAGCCATAGCCATACTTTTGAGGGGGCTCGGATGTTGTTGTACAATGTCTCGGATGCTTTGTGGTACGGTGTCCGCTTGAGCTGAACCGCTTGCGCCATTACGTCATTTCGCCCGGTTCGCAGTGGTGGGTAGAGTTCATTTTTTTTTGTAGTCTTTCGGTTGATGGTGTGTCGAGGCTGGTGGAAGGAATATACAGCTCCGCGTTTTGGGGGATAGATACGTTTGGTTTTTCTTGAGGGGAATTCATTGATTTCGCTACACGATAGGGTTGCTTCAAGAACTATTTCCGAGCCCACCGACGTTCCGTTTGTCAGCCTTTCACAGCACTTCCAGTACTATCGACTGCTCGCTGTTTTTTGTGTTTCCAAGAGCGCGATGTATCTTTTGCCTTCGAGCCTTGGCTTGAAAGATGCGTATCCAAGGACAACCAGACCTGTTCCCAAATGTGAAAGTAACGAATTGTCGAAGAACCGTTTTTGATCCTATATCGAAAACAAGGCAGACCTACCTACCATTGGGTTCGGCTCATTGCGTTCCATCCCGATGAGGGTAGAAATTATTTTGTGTTATGTTTAAGAAAGTTGTCTGGTGCCCACTTGCCCACTTGCCCACTTGCCCACTTGGCAATAATTTTTTAGGTTGCGTTTTGGCATTCAATACCATTTCGTCCTGGACTTGTGGTACGTACATGCCGTTTCGAGATACCGTAATGGTCGGAGAGATGGCACAGGGTGCGATCGTTTTTGTAAATGTTCTTCCTTGAGTTTTTATCGCGCCCCGGTGCCATGTCTCCGACCCCGGTGCGATTAGATCTTTTTGATTACATTTTCAAGGTAGCCCGGTGCGATCTCTCCGACCGGTGCGATCTCCGATGAAATACACACAGGTGTTGTATGAGTGGGAGCATACCGGTAACGGCAACGTAGGCTGGTACGTAACAGCTTTCCATAGAGCGAGTGGTGTCGTGTTTGATGCGAGTTTGGCTATAGAGTGACGACAAGAAATGATGTCGTTTCCATCTGAGGTACTGGTACATACGGCATCAGTTGTCTTCCGCTTTCGTTTCGGTGTTCCTCTACGGATACCAGTACGTACGAAGCAACAATAGCTTCGTGTTGTGTAAGGTGGGGTAGGATGTGGCTTGTACGTTGTGTGTCTGGTTGAGAGTATACGGTTGGCAACTTCCATACCAATTCAAATATGAAATCAACTGGCATCCCGTGTGAACCGCGACCATGCATACGTACATGCAGGGGTGGCGCTCCGCTGACACCATCCCCACATGTATAAGGAACACACATGTACCTCACTCCGGCAGCTGAAAATGAGCTCAATCTTGGGTTTGGCGGTCGGTGTGCGATCTCACTGACCCCGGTGCGTAAATGGATGTAAATCGGGCCGTTCTCGTATTTTTTTTAGCAACCCCGTGCCATCTCCCCGACCGGTGCCACCTCTCAGACCGGTCCTATCTCTCCGACTATTACGGTATATATTAAAGCTATGTTGTTTTCTTTCCGCGTTCACCCCTTCTAAACCAAAGCCTAACAAGCAGGCTATCGGCGAGACTATGTCGGCTCCTCTCTCCCCTCCTGCAACTCCCCCTTCAACCAACTTCCCCTTCAACCTACATGAAGTAAGTCTACGAGTAAGTATGCTTAAAACAACGTGGCGACGACTCGCTCAAACCTGGTGTATAATACACTCGTATAATATCTCCTCAATATACCCTGCGCAAAAACTTTGGGGTTTTCTCGATAGTTCGACATGGGAAGGTGTTGAATCTAGTATCTGCCATTTGCAACCTACATGGGAGCAGATCATCTGCGATGTGTGCCTGTAAATGCAGCAGCCTACCCGCCTGGACCGTACCGTAGGTGACACTAGATACCATACCGCCTGGACCGATTTTCAAACATCAATTACTCCACGAAGAGAATGCGTGCATGAAACGACTGTTTCAGAAGGCTCTTGACAGAGCGGCTTCAACGCCGCCGTTTCCGGCGCTGCCACGCTTCTGCTGTGAAAGAATGGAGCTTGGAAAATCGGTCGAGGGGGTGTGATATCTTGTGTCATACCTTGTTTATAGGTCTAGCCTGAGCCGGAAATGGGTAGGACTTCGACGCCTTATAGGGTGGCTGTGGGGGATTGGGGGAAACATGCTTCTTCAGACGTCGTATGGGTTGTTGTGCAGTGTTGTGCCTGGTTGGACGTTGGCAAGCTATCAATCTGGAAGCAGATGGCAGCGGCAGATCTGGATGCTGATGCGCCTACCTCTAGCGTTGCGGGGCAATCGGTTGTTTCTTTCGTGTACAGCACAGAAAGCGGTTCCGGTCATCTCGAAGCTGTGCAAAAGTAGGCCTAGACCTACAGCACCTAGACTCAGCTAGATACTCCACTCGCTTTTCGTACAGCAGCAGTACATGCCCTACCGAACGGCCGGCAGCCCGGTAGCGCGCACATACAAATCGGTGCCCCCGACAACAGTCTACATTGTAGACTAATTGATTGTGCTTTCGGCGGTCCTGACATGTTTTTCTAGCAGCATTCTTCTCCCCTACACACCATGAGTCCCCTGTGCGCGCAGGAACATACTCCACAGAACATACGAGCAGGCGGGCTCTGCAAGCCTGCACAGCTCGGGCTTCAGTATGCAAGCTAGCAGAGCTGAGCTAGCCGAGTACCACCTCCAAACCGTCAAGAACCGCGTGCGCGCGCCCAAAAAGCACGGCATGCTTTCCGAACCTTCCGGAAACCCTACCCCCGAACCCCCTAAAGATCCTTTCGCACGATTGATAATCCGACCTCTGGATGATATTCGTTTGGATGAATAACCAGCTTGATATATTGCCGTTTTACCTGGCAATGACAATCAATCGTGACGGAGATTTCGTAGACCGTATCTCGTACCGAGAAGGAGGGCTGTTTGGAGTGCTCGGCAGAGTACACTGTCTACGGGACCTGCGGGGAGGACGCGGATGGTATATGTTGATGGGCATGCTACATGGCGATGGTATTGCTTACCGCACGTCCCTCACTCTCTAAGCAACAAGATCTTGAGTCATTCTCCTTTGCCAGCTGTATGGCCTGGACCGTCAAGGAACGGTAGACTGCGGAGACGCAATTTTCTGACCTCGCTAGCGCTGCACGCAGTCCGCCCCCAGAGCGCGCGGCACCGCGGGGGGGTCCTCCGAACATAGGGCTATCGGCACGCGCAAGTCTCGCTTCGAGGCGAGGTCTAGGGGCGGAGAACCCGCCAGAAAAATGTTCTAGGCTAGCGACAGCATCAGGATTGCATCTGCTGCTATCTCGGCCTTACCCTCCTTCCCTAGGATATCCGCCAATTGGTCTATATTTCAAACTAGGGTTTAGTATTGGGCCCGCGCCCCCCCATTGGGCGGGCGGTCATAACGAGACGGATGTCGGTGAGGGTTTGGGAGGAAGCGAAGCATAAGAAGAAGGAAGACGACCGTACTCTATTTGCCTCTGTATATTCTGAAGCTGTAAGCTTCAGTCTCTCCGACCTAAATTCAACGTTGTCGCAAACCAACCCTCTTATTCCGATCCCCCCACCCTCGCCTGACCGTGTCTCGAAAGCCGATGGCCACGTCCGGCGCACGGCTCGCGACATCTCGACTATGCCTTGATAGGGCATCCCACATCATGGCCAGTCACCAATTTTGACCGACTTCCGCGTGGAGTACATAGCGTACGCCACAAGTGTGCGCTGTTTTCTGGTTTGCCGTGTTGCTCTCCTTATCGCTCTGTTTGGAAGACTCGGATCGTCTGACAGCTTGTGTGGCAGCAATCAACAGACGGATGCCGACCTACAGTACGCTGCACGATCCGTGATATCTTGAATATGCTTCGCCGCGCAAAGTTCCGTCGACTTCCGCGCGCGGTAGCATAGGCCACAAGATCGCGGCCACATGCGACCATGCGCGCTGTTTACATGTACGGTAGTCTCTCGTCTACACGCTGACTGGTTTCCCGTCTTCCTACCTTCGTCGCTCTTCATCGCTCTTTTAGACTTCTAGGGCAATTTCGGGAAAATCGAATGTCAGAAAGTCTGGTTGACAGCAACCCAAACGACCGATGTCGCCCTGCGGCGCGCTCCTCGCGATATCTTGAGGATGCCTCTGCAGGTATCGTGATTCGTGGTCCCTGGCCAAGTTTCATCGTCCTCCGAGCGCAGTGACATACGCCACAAAAGTGCTCGACGATGTGCGTTGTCTCTCTCCTCTTAACCTGTTCGCCGTCTTCATGTCTTCTCCGCTTTTGTTTCTTGTTCACTCATTTCGGAAAAAAACTCGAATTTCAGTGTCCGCTCAGCACACATTGGCATCATGATGTCCATTCATTGAAAATGTGTGTGGGCTGAGTGAGTTGCCAACGCGACCTATTTCCTACAAGTCATGATACGACCAACGCGCGCACGCTGTGCCCATGGGCAAGCATTCTGCATAGGCCAGCAGTGTGCGACCATGTGCGTTCGTTCATGCGTGCTCTCCATGACTTGTTGTTGTGTAGATTGTCGGGGGGAAAATGAATCTCAAAGGTCCTGTATCATCAGCAGAGACATTTCCGGTGTACATACGTAAACAAAGTACGGCACGGGCAATGCGGCAGAGATCGGATGAGATTCATTCGCATTCATTCCAGGTGTCCCAGCAGAACGCGACATCACGCCCCGTACACAAAACGAACACTTGCGTGGTAACGTTTGAAACATAATGTCATCACGCGGCGTGTGATATCTCGTGAAACCTACGGTCAATATAATCAATAATTCAAATTGTTACGGGAAGGTGTCTTCGTCCAAGGCGCCGCAATCGTGCGCGTACACAGCAACGCAGCAGCAGCCAGACACTAATACCAGCATCTGAAAACGAGAGACTCGCTCGCCAATACATCTTGTTGTTGTGTACATTCATTCCTTCATTAGACTATAAGTTCGATTTCCCGCTGGTGAAGGTGGTCTGATTTGAGCCGGGGCCTCTAGTAATATAGCACTGTTGTTCCCTGCTTCTTGCGTCTCTTGTTTGTGTCCTGACACGCGTTCTGTTTGTTTGCTCACGCGCCGCCGCTGCTGCTTCATACATACGGTATGTATGTAACTCCTTACTCTAAACCCCTGCTGCGCCCAACCGTTGGGTTTCAGGCAAGTAAATCTCAATGTGCGTGGGCTGAGGGAGTTACGAAGGCGATCTACATACGGTAGTGCCAAATAGACTTACGGTGCCCTGATGTGCAGTACTGCCTACGCTAGGATTGCGCGACCATATGCCATCATGCTCACTGTTTCTCTCCTCTGCACAGGCTCGCCTTCTTCCTGTTGTCTCCTTCGAGAATTTGTTTTGCTCGGGCGTAGTTCGGACTGCATTTTTGAATCTTAGGGTCCACTGGCAGCAACCGCACCAGCCGATGTGACCGATTCATGAACGTCCATCGGCATCTGCACTTCAACACGCACGCGCACTACGTGAACATGCATGCAGCACGGGCAATCCATTCAGAGACCGAGCGTTGGGTTTCATCAGCTGTCTATGCAGAAAATATACAGCGAACTTAACTGGATAAATAGAGCTTCAGTTAGGCAACGC